TCAAAAAGATGCCTTTGTAGCGCAATCGGAATGAATGGGCGATGCATTCTTGTGGACGTGTCGCAGACGATGGTGATGCTTCCTGGAAACTCAACGTCCTCCAGCTTGAGAGAGATGTTTGATGTCCGGAGCTGCTGTAGCTCCTCGTCGGATGCCTGATGATGAGCCAGCAAGGTGATGTCTAGTTGCAGAGCAGGCGAAGGTACGGTGTCAATTCGGCTCAGTACATCAGCGGGGACGTTTGATTTCCCTTTGATGTGCCGGATGTCTGTCGTAAACTCCGACAAGAAAGCCAGCTGACGGATCTCTCGAGGGGTATAGACAGAGCTAAAGTTGCGGATGGCGTAGGTGAGTGGTTTATGGTCCGTCCAGATGATGAAGGGACGACCTTCGACAAAATGTCGGAAGTGCTGGACAGCCAAGCACGCCGCGACCGGTTCTCTTCCAAAGACGCTGTAGCGGGTCTGGGCAGGCTTCAGCTTCTTGGAAAAGGAAGCCAGGGGCTGCCATTCACCGTCCACTTGCTGTTGTAAGACTGCCCCAATAGCTGTAGCTGAGGCATCAGTCATGATCGAGGTTCTGGCATCGTGTTGTGGATGTCGCAGAAGTACAACGTCTGCAAGTACGTTCTTCACTTTGCAGGAAGCTTGCTCCGCATCTTCACTCCATGGTACGTTAGATGAGGGATGCGGAGACTTGGTGAGGACGGAGTCAAGGCGCTAGACCAGTCTTGCACAGTTCGGAACGAACCGGCGGTAAAAGTTTACCAGGCCGAGGAACTGGTGGAGCTTAGTGATCGAGCTAGGTCTTGGGAAGTCTCTGATCACTTGCACTTTCGACTGCAAAAGTCTGATGCCATGTTGGTCCAGTCGATGTCCTAGAAACTCTAGTTTTGATCTCCCAAACTCACTTTCTGCGGCATTGGTGATGATGCCGTGATCTGAGAGTCTTTGAAAAAGAAGATGGAGGTGGTTGTAATGCTCCTCCAGTGTCGAGCTAGCGACCAACAAGTCGTCAACATAGGCGAATTCGAAGGGAAGCTCGCGCATGACAGCGTCAATGAATCTGGAATGTTTGAGCCGCATTACTGGGGCCAAAGGGCATGCGGAGAAACTCAAACAGACCAAACAGAGTGGTAATCGCTGTCTTGGAGATATCCTCGTCAGCTACTGAATCTGGTGGTACGCACGGGTAAGGTCAGCCTTCGAAAAAATGGTAGCGCCTTGGAGGTTGACAGTAAAGTCCTGGGTGTTTGGGAGGGGGTATCTATCAGGCACTGTGCTCTTGTTCAGTGCGCGATAGTTGCCACTTGGTCTCATATCTCCGTTCCTCTTGGACACCATGTGTAGGGGAGATGCCCAGCTGCTTGATGAAGGTCGGATAATTCCAAGCTCGAGCATATGCTCAAATTCTTCATGAGCTATGCAGAGTTTCTCTGGAGCCAGACGACGGGGTCGGAAGTGAACCGATGCGCCCGTTGTTTCGATGTGATGGTGGACATCATGCGAAACCGGTCTGGTCCAGTCAGGTGCTCGTGTGAGGCTTGATAAATCCTGCAGGGGAGGTCGGAATGGGCCGTCGATGTTAGAGCAGACTGACGTGAACCTTGTTGTGTCAGTTGTTGAGGCACTTTGCACGGAGAGTCGCGTTGTGGAGACGAGCAGACGTCTCTCCTTGACGTTTACGGAGAGGCTGTGGTGTTGTAGGAAGTCAGCACCAATGATCGCGTTGCTTATGTCTGTGACCAGGAATACCCATCTGTAGACTCGTCTGAGGCCAAGATTTAAGGTGATGGACCTTCCCTTGTAGACAGGGATCGACGAGTTGTTCACAGCCCGAAGGTAGTAGATGGGCGTTTGTGACCGATTCGCGCGTTTTGCAGGAACAGCGCTTACCTCAGCCCCGGTATTAACGAGATAACGGGTTCCAGTAGTCCTGTCGGCAATGTAAAATAGGCGACTTCCTGGTAGGCTCTGACCACTCGTTGCCTCTATCGGTTTGCTACAAGAGCAGGGACGAAGGCAGTGCCGGGCGATGGAGCCAAAGCGGCGATGGTATATGCAGACGTCCGCTGAACTTGCCGAGCGGGAGCAGTCAGCATTTCTTGTACGAGATGTTGAACGTCCACATTGTTGTTGAGTGGGTGGATGATCTCGCCGGTGAGTTGCTGCGGTATCAGTCTGTTCCAACCGCTGGCAAAGCTGCTCGATTTTGCCGTCAGACGGTGGAGTGCTTGGCAGGGCAGGCATCGCTTCGCTACCGTCTTCTGCCGCCGACATAACGCTGGCGACGGGTGGAGTGGCAACTTCAATAATGGTGTCTGCCAGGACTGCGAGGCCTGTGAGGTCGAGAGCAGTAGCGGCGTCCAACACCATCTGGACGTTAATTGGCAGGCACTGAATAAATAGCTCCCGCAGCAGAGCGTCGCTGATCGCGTTGGTGCTATCTCCAAGGAGCCGAGTCATCCGCCTCAGAAGCTGGGACAGACGTCAATCGGCAAGTTCTTCCGCCGAAAGAAGTTCCTGAAGGCAGGAGCGATCTGATTCCCCGGTTCCCTGCAGGAGAGCCGCCTTCAGCTGGTAGTACGAAGCTGTAGCCGAGGGTTGCGCAAGAATGTTGTATTCTTCGTCGGCAGCTGCCAGTGACAGCGCCGAGACGACATGGTGGTACTTGCTTTCCTAGCTCTTCGGACCGTTGAGAGGAAATTGGGACTCAGCCTGCAGAAACCAGACCCTTGGGTTTCTGTCCCAGTACGGCGAAAGTCGGACTGCAATCGGCGAAATGGAAGCCAAGGATCCAGCTACTGCTCCTTGGGGTTTGCCGTTGTCCATGGTCCTCGACTGGGTCACCAAAGATCTGGGGGCCGCGAGGTCCTACCACATTATTTAAAGTGAGGACATAGAATGAGACAACGGAACAACGTGTCTGCCTCTAATGGCGGCTTCAGGGCATTCTCTTGCACGAGCCCTCCGAGGTGCATGCATCTACTGTGCCTTGAGCAACCTCTTTTATTTTTGTAAGAAAGATGGATGTGTGGGTGCTTCGCACCTTACAACGTCATGCCGCGTGGTTCTCATGGCCGCCGCTCGCGGCTGCAAGTCGGGAAATATTCTAACTTTTGCCTCGCGATTACACAGTGGAATCGCAACATTTTGAAGGAAGGAGATGTGTTTTCTGTCCTACGTGACAAGATAAACAATGTCAAAATTTGAAGATGCAAATTCTTTTAACGTTTAAATCGTTGCACAGCTCGTTTAAACAAAAATTCAGCTGGACTCTTGAAGGTTGTCCCCAACCTTCCCCTCGTCCTCTTCTAACCTCAGTTATAATATTACTATATGAACCAGGGCCTCAGAAATGCTAGTGCCTACATTAGGGTGGCATGTAAATGGTATATTTGACAATATTAAACCTAAAGAGGCGCCCAGCTATCCTAATCGAGGGAAATTATAAAGCTGCTTGCTATATGCAAGCACTCTTTAATCTCGAATTTAACCTTTTCAGCAAATTAAAAAAACCAAGCACGAATAATGAAAGCAGACTGTCAGGACAGTTATACTTGCATAATCGTGGTGGAATAGTCCCATCGAGTGCACTTCTTACTGAGCACCTGCGTAACGCGAAAGAAGCAATGACAGCGAGCTCTGTGTGCATTGCTTTCCCACAGCACACAGGTGCTCGGTGAGAAGCGCACTCAACGGGTCTAACTCGCTGCGAGGAACAAATACTGTCTAGACCGGTTATAATGAAGTCGGTTATAACGAAATAGTGGCTACAGCAAAGCGATCACGATTTCCCATATCCTTTTGCACTTCGTTAACTGAAGTTGGTTGTAACAAAATAGCGGATATAGCGAAGTGATTTATGATTGCTGTTGACTTCGTTATAACTGGTCTCGACAGTGGTATGAAGTAAGCGAAAATGCAGTTTGAATCAAGTAGTTTATAAATGCATTAAAAACATAGCGGGACAACCAAAATTTTTTAATTCAATTAACTGCGATGAAATTTCCGAGTTTTAATTATCGCAAGTACACTGTATTAGAACACTGCACGGGCCAGACTTTCTAGGTCTGGCCCGACCCGGCTCAAGCCCTACAAAATATTTAATTTCAAGGCCTGGCCCAACCGGGCTCGGTAGAGACCCAGCCCGGGCCCAGCCTGAGCCCGACAGAATGGTTAAACAAAAGCCTGAGCCCAACAATTTTTTTAAATATGAGCCTGAGGCCAGCTCGAACCCGACACATGATAAACATGAGCTCGAGAAAGTTTGCAGTCTTTACCCTAAAAACTGTCTAAGCATAAAGCGAGCATAATTGATTTAATTTTTTTTAAAACATAGACCGAGTTTTTTTTTTTTTTTTTTTTCACAGTAAATATTGTGTAATATAGTCTGTAGTGCATCTTCAAATAGCTGCATAAACATAAAATTATCTTGGGTATGTTAGGTTTTCTTTGGTGCATAGTATGACTCCCTGCACAAAATGAAAAATAGAGGCCACACTTTTTTTTCTTTAGTTTGAAAAGCAGAGGAAAAAGAAACTCATGTTGTGCACTGCGGCTGGGGTTTCCTTGATTTCTTGCCTGCACTCTCCCACTATGCTGGTGGAGTCCATACATTTTCTTTCATCCACTTGAAGACTTTCCAAATGCAAGAGAACTTTTTCTTTTTAACTGCGACATGGCGACTTTGTAATTTGCTTGTTTGTTTTCAAACTAAGAGATCAATTAGCACACTTTTTGTTATCAACAATTTAGAATTTGTGGCACACAACTGCTTGGGCAGGATCCAAAAAAAATTTTGTTCAAGCCCGAGCTTGGCTTGGGCCGAAGGAAATGCGTGCTACCCGACCCGAGTGAGCCGGGGCCGTGCACTGTTTTATTTTGTTTAGGCTTTGGTACTATTATTCTGTGAACAATAACATTATTCTGCATCTGCAGAATCATTATGCTATAATTCCCTCCTCTGTCTCAGGCCTTTTCTTTTGTATCCTCTCACAGGATTCATTCCGTATGCCTGCTGGTTGAAAGCGTACTCTTTGGAATATTTGTTGTTGCAATCATGTGTGACCAGGTAAGTGCTCGCAGAACTAGTGCATTCTAGAAAATATCTTCACTTTCACTAGACAGACTCACTGCAAGTTGGGCTGGGATATTATGTAATGGACATCCTTCACAAATAATATCTCATTTGCGCAAACATTTGGAGCATTAGAAAACAATTACGTTCAAAGAAAGCTCAAATGGCAGCTGGCATATTTATTTAAACGCTCATGGGAAACATGCTTTTTTTTTTAGTCATGACTGTGGTGATTTTTTTTTAATTTTCTTATGACGCTTTGTTTCGCATTTACCACCAAGAACAACATTTTGATCGCATGAGGCACTTGATCATGTGCAGGTCACAACAGAGTTAGCTTGAGCGGATGAAACCATCACGAATGAAAGACTGTTATACAAGCTATGAGAGGGGGGGTCGTAGATCTCAGGGACAATCACTTAGGTGGTAAAGTGCAGTTTTCATCACTACTTTTGATGTACGCTGCCACGTACAAAAGGCAATGGAAACGTGGTGCCTGGAATGCGTCTGCAACTAGCCTGTTTACGGCATCCTAAAAAGTGCTCCCTCGACTTCTGCCTGGTGACATCATAGAGGTGTCGCGTTGCCGCCGTGGCCACGATTCTGGCGGTGTCGCAGCAGTGGCGGGGCATGTGGCAGACACCTGTTCTGTTGCAGGTCACTCTCTAGCTTGACAGTTCACAAAAGCTTCAGTAGCCAGAAGTCGAGACTCTGCGACGACAGCGAAACTCGCGTTTCCTCATACTTTTTGTCGGAACTATTGGCACCGACCACCGGGATTGCGACATCCGACAGCACAATCAGAGTGTCGAACCAATATTTTTATCGGTTCGGTTCGGGTTCGGGTTCACGGCTTTCGGTTCAGTTCCGGTTCAGTTCCGGGCGCAAAAAATAACGGATCAAACCGGTTCGAACCGGTTTGAACCGCTAAATTGAGAATATATTTTCCGCGTTGTTCTGTCAATAGGCACTATTTAGGCCGTGAAACTAACTGCTGTAAACGATCTGATTTTTGCGAGGACCTCTTCTTGAGAATTTCGCGAATCGCCTACAATTCGCGAAAAATGGGTCCCGCGAACAATTTCGGTAAAATGTAAACACATTGAAATTTATATTGAGATTCCACCGCGGTCGAGAAAATTACAACCCGCGAATTATTCCAAAACTTCAGCTTTGACCTAAATCGCGAAATATTGAGCCCACGAAAAATAAGTCGTTTACAGTATATAGTTTTCTTCTTTTTTTTTTTTATCGTTTGTTCAATCCAGTTTTATTTTCAGGTACAAAAATTAAAAAATTCTGTTATTTATTCCTACACAACAAGAAAAGAAAATCTACATTAACATACAAAACGTCGAGTTTATACGACTCAACATCCCTTCGTTTACCAGAGTCACATACATTGTACCTGAATCGAAATGTTTTCGCGAAGTGAAGTAGGTTGCCTAAAATACCCGTGATTGGTACAACTTTGCATCGCAGTATCAGATGTTGAATCGTGGTTTTGCCCTTGAACTAAGGAATTAATTACAGTGAATAAAATCATGAAATGGGCACCTCGTCGCCATATATACCATAAAATGTGTTTTACGGAATACGTTTCACAATATATATATATATGATGACGAGACGACTGAGCTTAAGGCAATATAATTTTCAAACTGTCACGAAAGTAACGGGACAAGTCCTTCCAGTCTGTATTTTATAGAAACACTAAGCGACAATCGCAATGCTTGTTTTTCTAACTAGCATTGTTTGCTCTCAGCACCATGATGCGGGCGACGAGTCATGCGAAAAGGAGTGGCTGAAATTGTTCACTCTAATCTATGAGCACCTTCGTACTGAGATCGAATCTGACCTAAAACAGTGCTCACCCATGTGTACATTTTCTTATATTGGATAAACTGGCATAGCCTGGATGTTGTGGTTTGCTCTTGACAAAATGCCGGTCAATTTAATTTGCAAATGAGCATCACCCTCGCTAATTGATGATTTTTGTTAAATAGAACAGAGTGGTATTTCGTGCTCTACTCAATTCGGAAGCTACTTAATCGGACACTTTCTGAGAGTTTAAGTGTGCAATCGTCATAGTTCCACCATTCGTTCCAGTAAAAAAACGCGATAATAAAAACACATAAAAAGGCGATAATAAACTTCTATGTATTTGAGAAGTTATATATGCGTGAGGAACATATAGGTATTTAAATTAGCTTCAAAATAAAAAAATATTTAAACATTTTCCGAATCACCTATAACGTACGTGTCTATAGAGGATAAAAGCGCCGAAAAAGATTTGCAGAACATCTTTCAGATAATTTAAAGGTGCATTTACTTACATATCTTTGAGGTGAGGATCTTCTATTTATGCTGCCAAATATTCAGACAGGAATTAAGTATATTTTTATTATCATCGATAAATTTGACTTTATGAAGTTCACATAACCGCCTGAGACCGACACGGAAGGACGATACTCGAAAATACGCCAGCTGTTGAGTCTTCGGCAACGTGCTTTTGTTAGCTGTTTTGCAGTGTAAAATACTGGGTTGCAGGGTTTGCCAAAAAACACTGTGGTCACATGATATATCGGATGGCAAATACACGAAATGGGCAGAAATAAGGAGATGACACGCAATTTTTTCTAAATAATCCCTTACACAACGCTTTACTGCAAAAAGAGATGCATAGAAATGCATAACATGATATTCCTAATTAAACATAGATTCCGCGCAGGGCAAACGAAGATTTTATAAATCCTAATATAAATCACTTTTGGGCATCAGCTTACCTCAGCTCGAAACGCCGCGAGATACTACCTCGGGAGGCTAATGGTATCTTAGGTTTTACGTGCACTTGTTTTGGAACCTTACTTCACGACTCTGTTCCTTATCAGTCATGTGCTCCAACATCTCATTAGGCTGCCGTATATCATCGCGAGACTGCTATAAATACTACACAACTTTACACCTTGGACGTCTACTGCTGGTGTTGCGAACGTCGCACTTCACCAGAAAGCTGAAGTATTTAACATGGTTTGCACGTGACGTAATCGCACTAGATACTGGTTGTCATTGCGAGTTGTTCTTGCTGAGAATATCAAATTCGGTGGGGCAAAATGCACGCTGCAAAAGTTTCGCGCTCAGTGCAAGCTGTGTATTTGAGAGGCACACATTTTTCTTGTTGGTGCATCGGCGTTAGGCACGGCGCGAGTAACTCGCACGACGAAAACGTGCTTTCTGGCAAGAGTGTTTTTACAAATAAAAGTTTTACCAACTACCCATCTGTCACTACCGTTTCCAGGACACGCTTTGTAGTCTGCGCCGAAAATGCGGGGCAGAGGAATCTTTACGACACAGTATGCTTTAAAACTACCCCCCTCCCCACTCCCCTTTTTTTTTTAGTTGCTCCTCAAGATACTTTTTGTTCGTCAGGGATTGCCTGCTCCGTATTGAGTGGTGTTCACTCGACAATTATATTTGTGTCACTTGTTAACAGTAATTCTTCCTTGCTTTTACTTTGCACCACGCTGTGAAGTTTAAACAAAATACAGGACGGTCGAAACTTGGAGAACTTGAGAACGACACTAATGTGAGACTTAGAGCGGCTGCTATCCCCCTGAGGCCACTAGGATCTTTCTTTTCAGGTATCCCTCCCGTACACACTAATACTTTCATGTAACGTCGAACTAATACGTCACATTTAGACCCTTTAACACTTCTATTCTCGGGACAACTTTTTGAGGCAGTTCAGCAATAACGAAAACATGTTTGGGAGCCTCAAGGGTGTGCATACATGTAAAATTGGTCGTGCAGCATTTTTTTTTTACCTTAAGTTCAATAAATACCGCTAAAATGTAATCCCTGACGTTGATAACTTACAAAAGCATCCATTAGTTTGCCCCTCCGCGAAATGGCAGACAGTCGAAAGAAAGAAATAAAATTGCTTTCCCCTCCTCAACTCGCAATTAGAACTATCAGCCACGTGATCTGATCCTAATATACACACCGTCAGTGTTTATCATAGTCATACGCAGGGTTGGCAAAGCAGAGAGCATGGGCTGATCTTCAGATATAGTTTTAGTTGGGCTACAATGCCCGAGCACCACTAAAGCGACAAACAGAAACAAACGTCAGCGGCTAGCCTTAAACCAGAGTATTTCGCGATTTGACAGGCTTCGTAGAATAAAGAAGGCTATGCTCAAACATGAGTATCATGCACACGATGGTACCATTTGCAGGCTTGTAAACGCTCGTGCTAACTTCTCGAGCACCGAACAACTCAAAGCCGTATAAAGGTACCATCGCGAACAAGCTGCATGTGTCTGAGGCTTGTCGCTGTCGTTTGTTTCTGTTTCTAGTTCTAGTGGGACTCGGGCCCATCATAATCTTTGAGTTGAACACGAGCCGTCACCCGAATGTTTGGCGATTCTGGTTGTCATGAACCAGAGCATTCGACTCGGGATCATGACAATCGGGTACATCATTGTGTCACGCGACTCTCAGTGCGAAGTTGTGATGTCATGTGACGTCACGGTATCAACAACGTTAATAGATCTAGCGACGTCCTTAATTTGAATCTACGCGGTGAGTCACGTGACGTCACGTGATGTGACATTACTTGACAGCATGTCTTGACATCATGACGTCACGTGACGATGTGACACATGGCTAATCACAGTGCCAATAAGAAAGCGCCGCAGAAAACCAGGATTTATTATACATTGCAAATCTGTATATGACGATTTGATAAATATAGGAACACAGCTGCCAGCTTTTTATTCCCAAATAATAAATTTGTAATACTAACAAAAAAAAATACCGCGAACTGTTTTGAACCGGTTACCGTTATATTTTTTTCCGGTTCAGTTCCGGTTCAGTTCCAAGATGGCGGCGAAGATTTCGGTTCGGTTCAGTTCCGGTTCGGCTAAAAATAACGGTTCTGTTCCGGTTTTCGGTTCGGTTCGGTTCCGGTTCGACACCCTGAGCACAATACTCTG